ATATATATATATATATATATATATATATATATATATATATATATATATATATATATATATATATATATATATATAAATAAATGCCAAAGGCAACGGTAAATAATGCATGACTGTGATTATTAGCTAGTTAATTATTCTCTGGTAAACGGATCTCAATAAAACGGCCTCCGAATTTGTGACTATATCAATTACGATGGTTTTCTTTGATTATTTATTCAGCGTTTTGTTCATGTACATGTACAGTGGTTGATCAATTAGTATGTGTATTGTGCACTACATCAGACTTTAGTATAAACGTATTCGTAAAGAATATGTACCATAATAAAATACCTCGATATAAACGTCTTGTTCTAATTCTTTATAAGCTGTTGAAGACTTATTTTCCAATTCTTCCTTGAACGTCTTGTTGGAAAGCTTTATCTCCACGCTAATATTCACGATCACTATAAAAATAAAATAGAATTAATAAATCAAACATTGAAATTCACAAGGTTCTTTCTTATTCCCATATCTGTGACCGGTGCGCTTGACGTGCACATTATAACATGCCTTATATATATATAGCTGTTGTTTCAAGCATGCAGTTTACCTTTCCTGCCACTACGTCTCTCCAGGTGGCGCGGCAATATGTCATTAAAAAGACAAATCCAGCTTACCTGGTTTTATTATTATTTCTGTTGTGTAATAATCGTAACCAAGTGTGTTTGAAGCATTGCATAAATAAGTTCCAGAATCTTCTAAACGTGCATTATGAATCGTAATGTTTCCATCAAATTTGCCATGAGCACGTTTGATTTCCATGAATTTGCCATCAGAGTTAGCACGCTTCCAAGAAGTTGTGGGTTTAGGATCAGCGATTACTGTGCAAACAAGAGTCACGTTCGTTTCAACATATTGGGTAATATTTGCTGGTGATTTCGATGTAATTTGTGGAGGACCTGTCAAAATCAGTAATTTTGATTTATTTTAGAAAATAATCCATAACCATGCATGTGCTTGTATTTAAGTTTTTGTATAAACACAATCACTAATTTCCTAAGTTTATGCTTATTTTTAATATGACGAATACAAGAACGTTGCAACACCGCGCGAAACTTAAATAATGTATATATGTAATATTAATCTCAGAATTCTGAAGAATAAAAGTATATTTCAATCCAGAGAACTTTCGTTAATTATAATATGCCTGGATTACAAATCTTTATATATACTATTGACATGACTTTTCGAATGTCCAATACTCAATAGGACAGAACTCTATATCAACTATCATTTGCATATAATACTTTCCATGCCACAGAATCTGGTCGCAGAATATTTTTTCTAGTCGTTTCTTGTAACTCAGTAACATGTTTTTAATATAGTGGGTTTACATTACGCAATATGGTATAACATTACGTTAAATGGTATAGCCTACATTACGTTATCATTGAAGCATGATCGATGGGATTCGAAGTTCATGAATTATATTCGCTGATTGAATAACAAAGATTGGTAAAAATCTGTTCATGGAGAATTTTTCTAATATTCTATTGAATTGTTCATTGTACCTTGACACTCCATGCCGTCGCCAAAGAAGCCTTCAAAGCATTTGCAAATGTAAGTTCCAATAACATTTTCACAATGTGCGTACTCATGACAAGTATTAGAATCTGCATTCTCACATTCATCAAAATCTATATAGCAGGGATGCGTTGTATCATTAATTTCAAGCACCATCATAATTCATACTAACAAAGTTAATCAGCATTATAGAATTCCTGTTACAAATACGTTTTGGATCTCTTCATAGAATAACTCTAATGTTGCACGTACCAGAAACCGAATTAAATTTTCGGGTAGTAGAAGTGCATGTAGAACTTAGCATGCAGTTATGTAGTTAATAAGGTACACAAACTAACTTCAAATTAAGGTGTCAGATATCAATTGAGAAAACCTAGTTTGTATTAAAACAGATTATATCAGTGTTCGTTGAAAACAAGAAAAGTAAAAATTGTGAGTGGTAAAATGTCGTATTAAATTTCCACACGTTTTCATACGTTTATTTTTCCTTAATAACAATAATATACGCAGTGAAACGGCATTGATGTTCTTTCACGTTTACAGGGAGGGTGATGTAGCTATACGTCTTTGGTTAAATGAGAGGTAGTTCTATATCAGGATATTGTACCTTCTTTACTTGTATATGATTTGTCAAATCTGTATCCAGCAATTGTGTCGACTTTGTTTATTTCTTGTACAAGTATTGATGGAGAGTCCTTGAATTGACTGTCTAAGGATACAACGACGGACGCCACTACACTCCCCTCTCTGTGTAAGAACAAAACCGCAGTTTAATCATTTCACCTCCCCAGCTTCCTTTGCTGTCTGCAAATCTGCAAACCATTTGACCTATTTTTATACCAAGTCTACCAAACCGAGTTGTCAGTGGCGGAAATCTCGGGGGGGGGGGG